TCCTCGTGGGTCCAGGGGTTTAGGGCTTTAGGGTTTTAGGGTGTAGGGCTTTAGGGTTTTAGGGTTTGGGGTTTAGGGTGTAGGGTTTAGGGTGTTAGGGTTTTAGGGTTTAGGGCTTTAGGGTTTTGGGATTTAGGGTTTAGGGCTTTAGGGTTTTGGGGTTTAGGGCTTTAGGGTTTTCAGGTGCTAGGGCTTTACGGCTTTAGGGTTTAGGGTGTAGGGCTTTAGGGTTTAGGATTTAGGGCTTTAATTTAGGGTTTAGGGCTTTAGGGTTGAGGGCTTTAGGGTTTAGGGCTTTAGGGTTTTCAGGTGCTAGGGCTTTAGGGCTTTTACTTTAGGGTTTAGGGTTTAGGGCTTTAGGGTTTAGAATTTAGGGCTTTAGGGTTTAGGATTTAGGGCTTTAATTTAGGGTTTAGGGCTTTAGGGTTCAGGGATTTAGGGTTTAGGGCTTTAGGGTTTAGGATTTAGGAGTTTATTAGGGTTTAGCATTTAGGGCTCTAGAGTTTCAGGTTCTCGGGCTTTAGGGTTTGGGGTTTAGGACTTAGGTGTAGGATTTAGGAGTTTATTAAAATTTAGGATCTAGGGCTTTAGGGTTCGGATACAGGCTAGCCCGCATCATCCAAATGAAACCCAGGCCCTCTGGAAACCTCGGAGAAAAGAAATGCACACTGCCCTCCCAACCCCACTATGGAATCCTTGTACATAGGATGCTTCTAACGACCGTAGAAACCCTGCCAGAAGAGACCCCTGTACAAACTCCATGAAAATGAAAACGCTTTCAGAAACCAAAACTACTGAAACTAAACCCTAAACCCTAAAACACCCACATTTCTTGATAGAGCCCCTATTATCCCTGTCAAAACAATTAATGCAGACCCCTGATTCATACACCCACCCACCTCAAAGAGGATGATGATAGGGATCCGAATAAATTAATTCAGGCCCTGAAGACTAGCGTGTATTAATCAGGCTACATCAAATACTGGAAATAACATACCCTTACAGTTTCTTATACCCTAATGTACCACAAGACCCCTATTCTCATCAAGACCCCTCCTGTTTTACAGAACCCTTACTACTGGCAACTAAGCCCGCGCTCATCTTTAAACCCTCAACCGCATAAACCCTGAACCAACACCCTAAACCCTATGACCCCTAAACCCTAAACCCTAAACCCTAAACCCTAAACCCTAAACCCTATGACCCCCAAAACCCTAAACCCTAAACTATGATCCCCAAAACCCTCTACCCTAAACACGAAAACCCAGGGCCCACCTGCCACAGCACAGGTGACATCGAAACCCTAATCCCTAAACCCTAATTCCTAAACCCTCATCCCTAAACCCTAAACCGCAATCCCTAAACCCTAATCCCTAAACCCCGATCCCTAATCCCTAAACCCTAAACCCTAATCCCTAAACCCTAAACCCTAAACCCTAAACCCTAATCCCTAATCCCTAATCCCTAAACCCCTGCTGACAAAAATGAAAGCCCGACCTCCTCATCCGCCGCCTTCTGCCGGTCTGCCGACTCCTTGAGTTGGCTAAGACGGCCTGCCGGCGGTTTTTTCAAGCGATTTAGGGCTTACTGCGCTAGGGTGTAGGGTGTATACGGGTTTAGGGTTTAGGGTTTAGGGCTTTAGGCTTGTAGGGCTTTCCGGTTTAGTGGGTTTTAGAGTGTAGAGCCTGGGGTCGAAAGGGTTTGAGAGTTCAGGTGCTTCGGGGGTTTAGGTTTTAGGGTAGAGGGGTTTTAGGGCTTTAGGGTTTACGCTTTTTTCGGCTAAGGGTTTATGGCCCAGGGCTTTAGGGTTTTAGGGCTATCGGAGCGCTTCTCGGTTCGGCTTCTCCTCCTTCTTCTCATCAAGAGGTTTGTACATAGCCCGCAACTGCTCCAAGCCCACCGTCGCCAGGTGCCCAATGATGATCCTTTTGGAGTACGCGATGTCCTCCTCCTCATCGTCTGTATTCCAACTGGCCTCCTCCTTTGTCTCCACCTTCCTGTGCCTCTTCGCCACCCGCATCATCAAAACCTCCAAGCTTCGCTTCTCTGCATTCGTGAGCGACATGTCTACGAGGACTGTGTCTGTGTGAGTGTGTGCCTCCGCGGTATGGGCCATGGATCACCAGAGCCCACTCTTCTTGTGCAGGTTCTTAGCACCAGGTCTTCTAGAAAACTGGGGGAGCTCAAAAGTAAGTAGGTCCCGGTACGATTTATACAAAGGCTATGAGGGTCGAGGGTCAGGGGTATAGCGCCTAGCCCTGATTTCGGCTTGAAGGTGAGGTTATACGCCCTAGACCCTAAAACCTGAACCCTAAACCCTAAACCCTAAAACCTAAACCCTAAACCCTAAACCCTAAACCCTAAGCCCTAAACCCCTAAAACCTAAACCCTAGGCCGCGCCGGCTTGCACCACACATGTTCCCTACTTTGGCCCTATGAGACTTCCCCTGTAATCCCGTTTACGCTGAAGGGGTACTCGAGCCCTTAGAAGCTACTCTAAAAGGGTTCGAACACCCAACTAGTATTTCGGGCGAAAAGGAATCAGACACCCTCAACCCTAAACCCTAAACCCTAAACCCCTAAACCCTAAACTGAGGGTACTGGCTTTCGGGCTCCGGTTTAGGCAAGGTTTGGGCTTGGAGTTCAATGGTTCAGGCTTAGGTCGGCTCAGCGTCCAGGGTCTGCGTTCCTTGATGGGCTCATTGGCTTTCGAGGTTAGGGCTTCGTGCTTTTAGGGTTTAGGCTACGGTTTCGGGCTTATAGGGTTTAGGGGTGTAGGGTTTAGGGGTTTAGGGTTTAGGGTTTAGGGGCTTAGAGTTTAGGGTTTAGGGGTTTAGGGTTTCGGGTTTAGGGTTTGAAGGCCCTGTAGACTGTTGAAGTGGTTAGGATGGTCCGAAGTATCCTACACATGATTCTCCTCATCGATGGTTTACGTGTAAACCGATGCATGCTTGCAAGAAGGCTTCTGATTCATGCGAGTTTTCTTTAAGCGTGAAATTTCAACTGATTGCAGTTTGAGCTTGTCGTTCGAGCTAGCTGTTCCCAATGTAGTGGTGGGCAGATTGTATCCCAACACCCGGAGCCACCACAAGCCCTGCGCTTTGCAAGTCTCCAGCCCTTGCAAACCCTAAATGTGCATGTAAAGACAATCACACCGCAATTTGGGGTGCGTTCTTACAAGGCACACATTACTTTGTCAGATTTAGGACTTGAGTGAACCCATTAAAACTATAACCTCTTCCCACTGATTATTCGGGCTCTAACGCGCTTTCATCAGAAACTCCCATGTATCCGAAGAAGAAACCTTATCAAAGGCTGCAATTCGAACAATCCAAGCTAATACATGGGCCTTGGTTATTGAGAGTAGAGTTTGGTGGTATGTTGTGAGCTATTCGTGGATGCTGTTGTAAGTGCTCATGCTTCAGGCCGTTATATTGCCATCAAAAACCCTAAACCCCAAATGCCCTAAGCCCTAACCCTGAACTCTGCAATATGGGGACCTCAAGTCCAAGGGCTTTAGGAGGGACCCTTAATAGGGACCCTTGTAGGTTATTGGGGTTAATATCAAGACGACCTGGCTATATAAGGGGTATACAAGGACTATACAATGGTTATTTACGGTAATTGGATTAAGGGTCCCTATTAGGGGTCCCTTCTAAAGTCCTTAGATTAATAATGAAAAAATGACCCCTAAGGAAAAGTAGGAATCCTTCAGGCCCCTAGAGTGGGCAAAAGGGTTCTACCAGTACCTACTGTTGATAGTATAAACCCCGAAGTACATGGACCCTAAATGATGTGAATTATGGTCTATATTCCACTTATTATGGGTAATGCAGGATTTCTAAATCATCAACGGAAGGACTTTAAACCACCCTAAACCCTAAACCCTAAACCCTAAATCCTAAACCCTAAACCCTAAACCCACCTTCGAGCCCCGTGATGGCTTCAGTCGAGGAAGCTGCTTCATCGGCTGCTTTCTCCTGAGCCTCACCGACGGAGTCGGCGCTTCGGAGAGTCAGGGCTTGTCTCGGGCTCCATTGTGGCTCTTTAGGTTTTAGGGCTTAGGGTTCATAGGGTTTTATAGGGCTTATAGGGTTTATAGGGCTTATAGGGTTTATAAGGTTTCTAGGGTTTAGGGTTCCTGTTTGTGGTTCAAGCAGCTTTACATTTAGGATCCTACAAGGTCACCCCAAAGAGGATCTACAATGGAGACTATAGGTCAGTGTATTTCGGGGGATTCATCCTGAGCATCGTGGCCTAGGCTGGTAATATAGGGGCCTCAATAATTAGAACCAGGTTTTGGGGGTATATTATACTATATAATTATAATAAGGAGCCCCCCAAAATAGTACAGGTTAGTATTTAGGGCCCTGTAGTAGGCACACTCTTGCTTCCGTAACCTGGCTTCGAAGCTGAGATTTGACCCCCCTGACCTTTGAGCAAGTGCGGGCCCCCGACTCCTGAACTCGTACGGCTAGCGGCGCCGAAACGAAAAGTGGCAATAGCAGCGAAGAAACGAAAACCAACAAACGCCACTGACTCAGCCCCACGACTTTACCAAGACTCACAACAACAGCGATAATGAGGTACTCGGGTTTCGGGTAGTAGTAGAATGGCCATGTGGTATGCTGATTAGTACGGTTGATGGACAAAATCCTGCATGACCCAAATATAGTGCTAGTACCATAATTCCTATAGTTTAGGTCTATAGGGTCATGCAGGAGTTTGTCCATCAACCGTATGACCCTGAACCGTAAACCGTGGGAAGGCGGGGGAAAAGGGGGACCCACCCACACAAACGAAAGCTTACCGAATAATGCAAAAGGCAGCCTCGGCTTCCCTGAAATGCTCCGGGCAATTTAGGGTTTAGGGTTTAGGGGTTTAGGGTTTAGGGTTTAGGGGTTTAGGGGTTTAGGGGTTTAGGGTTTAGGGGTTTATTAGTATATTAGTATTCGTGTCAGTATTTAACATGAATATTTGCTGGGTACCCCTCAAAAAGTTTTCGGTAAACCCACATAGGCAGGGAAAGCTTTTCACTATTGGGTTCCCGCATATAAAAGGTATCAGGAGATGACCCATGGTTAGATTTGCAAGCAAGGCGACGAAAGATCAACATCAGAGGTGTTCCTTAGGGTTGCGTAGTACAGCTCTATACTTCAGCAAACCAAAAAATGGGAGAGGTTCAACGCCAAGATCTGTGCTGAAGCGCTTCAACTGCTACACGCAGAGAGACAGAGAGAGATGTATATATATATATATATAGATATAGCCACACATGCATACACCGAACATACACCGCCTACTGTACAAAAAACAATACGACCTCTGCTAGATCTAAACCCTACAAACAAAAGCCTAACCCTGAACCCAGAATGCTGCACCAAACAACGCTCTGCAACTTCATACCTCAAGCCCTAGCTGGAGCTAAAAAGCTGCCCACAAGTACGTAGAATAACAGCCTTTTCTAGGTGCTGGAGGCCATTCTTTTGCCTGCTTTGTGGGTTTAAGGTTTACCTGGACCCTAAAGAACCTCCCTTTTTAGGGTTCCTTACTATGATTTCCTTATATAAGTCCTTAAAACGGTAGGTTCTTCAGGGTCCAGATAGGGTTTAGGGTGGATTAAGTAAGCCAAAAATCCGCGTCCATGCCCTGGCCTCGGTAATGGCGGAGCGTAGAGACGACAGCTCCTGCACACGGGCTCGTGCACAAAGGGCTGTTAGGGCTTAGGATGGTTTCGGTTTAGGGTTTAGGGTTTAGGGTTTAGGGTTTAGGGGTTTAGGGTTTAGGGGTTTAGGGTTTAGGGTTTAAGGTTTAGGGTTTAGGGTTTAGGGTTTAAGCCTGCCTATGCTCTCCGACAAAAGCTGTCTTTTGTCGGGGTATCACTCAACTAACTGGTTATTTCGGGGTCCGGACCATAAAGCAGGCTATCCGACCAGATGCTACAATCCAGGGTCGAGGTATAGCCCCTTCCTGGAGGACGGCTCATGGGGGAGAGAGAGGTGACGCTGATGTCATCCCAACTGGTCGCGTCAGAAGGAGCCCAAAAGGTAGCCCGATGAACGGCAGCTGGTGTGCGCATCCGTTCCGCATGCAGCTTGCTGCAGACTACGTTTTCGCCTGTCGCGAAACCCGACCGAGAAAACAACATCCCAGACGCGAAAACCTACATCCTAGACCCTAAACCCTAAACCCTATAAACCCTAAACCCTAAACCCTAAACCCGAAACCCTATAAACCCTATAAGCCCTAAACCCTAAACCCTATAAGCCCTAATTGGCTTAAGGGTTTAGGCTTTAGGGTTTTGGGTTTAGGGTTTAAGGGTTTAGGGTTTAGGGTTTAGGGTTTTAGGGTTAGGGGATTTAGGGTTTAGGGTCTAGGGTTTAGGGTACTTTTGGAACCTTCTTCCGACTGCAAACTGCAGTAGGAGATGCAGACACTCAGGTTTTGTAGCAAAAAATAATGCATTCCCATACTTTACCTATAGTCTCCGTTGTAGTTCCTTTTGGGGGATACCTTATAAAATCCTTGACATATATTTGGTAAAACCAAAAAA